GATTAGGAGTTTCCTCAAAACATTTCTCCCAACACTTGTCAGATACAACTATTTATGTGAAATAGGCTATTCAGTGAGTTTGCAACATTGTCATTTAGGTCTAGAGTGCCATCCTGACACTCAGAAAATGTTTGTTCCCAGTTACATCATGTGAGGTTGCTACATTCTTACACTTTAGCTATTATTGGATGGGCTAGCACTCTCCCACTTGAACCACAGCTCTACTTCTTCTTCTTCTATCTTCCTTCTTCTTCTATCTTCCTTCTTCCCTCCTCCTCCTCCTCCTCCTCCTCCTCTTCTTTTAAGCTGTAACTAGAAATAAAAGAGTCTCATGGACTTTCCCACCTGGGCTGGCTTGGAACCATGATTCTCAGATCTCAGCCTCCTGCGTAGCTAGGATTATAGGTGTGAGGCACCAGCATCTGACAGATACTTTAAAAATTATTTTATTTTATCTATGAGTTAAATATTAATATCATATGAAATCGAAAATACTTTATATTTCTAAGTTTAGCCTCTATAATCTAGCCTTGAAATATTTCCTGCCTACCAGACATTTTTATGTATTTTTTAAAAATTATTTTTTAATTGTGAAAATACTGTACAGAGGGGTTACAATTACATGGGCAAGATAACGAGTACATTTCTTTTTTTTTTTTTTGGGTCCAGTCGTGGGGCCTGAACTCTGGGCCTGGGCGCCGTCCTTCAGCTCTTCAGCTCAAGGCTAGCGCTCTTACCACTTGAGCCACAGCACCACTTCCGGCTTTTTCTTTTTGCTTATGTGGTGCTGAGGAATCGAACCCAGGGCCTCAGGCATGCAAGGCAAGCACTCTACCACTGAGCCACCTTCCCAGCCCACGAGTACATTTCTTATCAAGCATTGTTGCCTCCTGATCTTCAAGGAGCTATATAAAGGGGTTTCAGTTCAACATATTGGTTTACAATACAGTGTCACCCCTTCCATTGATTTTTCTCAACCTTCTCAACCTCACCTGTCCCCTCCAGTAGCCTGGTTTAGACATATCTTAATAGGCATTGGAACATTTCCAAAATTAAACCCTATGTCTTTCGTTCAGATTTGTTTCCCACTAAGCTCTTTTGTGTACCCATTAATGGCCTATCCATCCTTGTACTGCTTAGGTTACAAATCTTGAGCTCATGCATTCTTCCTCCTTTGTGTGGCTCACGTTTCATATTTACATCTCACTACAAAATCTACTGTCTTTCATAAAATGCCAGTGTCTGGTGTTAGCCTTAAATCACATATTCCTTGGTTAACTATTGCAGCTTCTCCTTTTCTGTTTTCCTTGTATCTCTGTGTGTACTTAACAGAGTTGCCACAGTGTCCCGTTAAATGTCAGTCTAGACATACCTCTCATATGGCCAAAACTTAGAGAGATTTTATATTTCTCTTAGAAAAAATGAAAGACAAAGTTATATAGTTCCCAACTTGGCTCTTCATGATTGTTTCACTCCCACCCTTTTCCCATTTCTCTGATTACATCTGTTCTCTTCTCTGCCTTTTTGTTGAGTCCAGTTAAATGGCTTCCCTGGTGGTACCTTCATTGGTCACCCACCCTAGCTGGGTCCTGGTAGCTCATGCCTGTAAAGGTCCTCAGGAGGCTGCGATCTGAGGATTATAGTTGGAAGCCAGCCCAGGCAGGAAAGTCTCTGAGACTCTTATCTCCAATTAATTACCCCAAAAAAAGTCTTGAGCAAAAAAATCTCAGGGACAGGACCCAGGCCCTGAGTTCAAGCACTAGGAGAGGAGTGCATGCATGTGCATGTGTGTGTGTGTGTGCGCATGCACACACACACACACACAAACACACACAATACCTGCTCCTGTTCCCTTTAGCCATTAATTAAGTCTCCCTTCCCTCAGTTGTCACCCTTTCCCCTAGAATTCTCTTGATTTCTATTTAAAATTACTACCCCACATATACAATGGACATTTGTCCATTGAGGGGCTTCTGGGTTGATTCCATATTTTGGCTATGGTAAACAATTCTACAGTGAAAACGGTTGTACTGTTAGCTTTAGTGTGGTCCTGTTTGTGATCTATTGGATAAGGGCCTAGGAGTAGAAACTGGGTCATAGGGAAGCTTTATGTTTAGTTTTTTTGAGGAACCTTTGAGGAACCTTCATATTGCTTTCCAGAGTGGTTGAACAAGTTTACAATTTTACAGTGTAGTAGAGTTCCCTTTTGGCCACATGTCAGTTGGCATTTATTATTGTTACTTTTCTTGATTTTGGCCATCCTAGCTGGGGTAAGGTGAGACCTAATGTTGTCTTGATTTTCATTTCCTTTATAGGCAAAAATGTTAAGCCATTTTTACTTCTACGAAGTAGTTTCTCTTTACATTATTAGCCTCCACTTATTAATTGAGTTCTTGTTTCTTTAAAGGTTTATTTTTGATGATTTAATTTTTTGAGCTCTAAGTATATTTTGGATATGAGGACTTTGTCTGATGTATATATAGCTAGTAAACATCTTCTCTCATTTTGTGGGCTTTCTATTTTGCTTGTTAGCTATGTCCTTTGCCTTGTGGTATATATGCACAGTGGAATTCTACTCATCCATCCGAAAGAATGATATTGTACAATTCATAAGGAAATGGAAAGGCTTGGAAAAAATTATATTTAGCAAAGTAAGCATAACCCAGAGAAAAATAGGCCGCATGCTTTCCCTCATTTGTAACTAGAATGTGCCTATAAATCTACAGGTAAACACATTGGGTGGTAAGCAAGGGATTACAAATGAATTAACTGCAGTGTAATAGATTCTATGGAGAGCACAAACAGTATAATTATTTAAACAGACTTAAGTCAAAGCCCAACAAAATAAGTGGAAATGTGTACTTTCACGAGGGGGTGTTAGAGGCAAAGGGAGAGGGGTAGAAGAATGAAAGGGGAAAGGGGAGACAAGGCAGACAAGAGTCTATTGTATTTACCACAGAATTGAGAAATATAAGGGAAGGGGTGTGTTGAAGGGGGTGAAGATGTTCAAGTGATGACAGATTAAGATGCATTGTGCACATAAACTGCTTTGTTAAGCGGCAAAGAAATGCAATACATAAGCTAAAAATTAAGAAAAGAGGGAAGGGGGTGGGTTGGGACGGGTGGGTGAGAATGTTGAAAGGGGTGACATTGATCAAGACACACTGTATTCATAAATTGGCGACTCCTTTGTACAACTATTTAAAGATAGTACAAATATTCAAAAACTTAGCACTCTAGTTTTCGGAAATGTCCACTACCTATCAATTCCTTCTTTGCCGATCTTGGTAGCATGTATTACTTCCTACCAGTGTCCAGGCTCCAGCAGGAGGTTTGTTTTTCTTGTTCACTGCTGTATCCCCGAGCTTATGTAATAGGACTAGCACCCATAGCCCAGGCCTGGTAGAAACTCATGTGAAGAATGAGATTGTCGGAAGGCTGACCTTTGATTTTCTTTTGAAGTTTTTGCTCTCCTTATTTAATGGGTCATTATTTCTGTTGTAAATGTTTTCTTTGCTTGTCACCAAAGAAGTTTTTATTAAGTTTTAAATTTAAATTTTCATCTGAGTATTTTTTCATGCTTATGTCTTTCTCCATTCAGAGGTTACTTAAAATGTACTCATCTGCTTGTAGAAGTACATTTAGGATGTTATTCTTCATTTTAAAAAATAGCAGAATATACATATTTGTTTTAGAAGTGAGCAACGGATCCAACTTAATTTTCTTCTCAGATGTTAAGACAGTAGATGTTGCTCTATTCTCTTACCAGTTTGAAATGCCATGTTGTACTCAATGTTCATATATAATAAGTGTTCATTGTTATTGTGAAGGTGATGTACAGAGGAGATTACAGTTACGTAAGTCAGGTAAAGAGTACATTTCTTTTTGGACAGTGTCACCCCTTCCCTCACTCTCCCAGTTTTCCCTTCCCATAATGCTCATATATTTTATGCAGTGGCACAAACTTATTATTTTTTCTGTATTTTTTGTTTCAACTGTGTATTTCCCTTCTCTAATTTCAATTTTGGGAACTCCATAGCACACCTGAATAGTGTTCATTTACTGTGACTTCCAATCTGTTTTCTCCATCCTTTATGTTTTCCACAACTGAAAGCAAGCACAGTAACCCTTCTATAACAGATGTAATATTCGTGGGTAACACTGCATCCTGACTATTGTAATGTCTGTTTTAATTATGTAAATCATGATGTTAATATTCTTTGAATGAAGTGACTTTCCTTTGGATGATCCCTCGCAGTTTTCTACTACTTATATTGTAAGAACCCATCCTTTTATGCTTTAATGGAAGAAGATGGCTCAAATGTTTATGCACTTTCTGTTTTTATGGTTGTTTAGCATTAATGAGCTTTGATTGTTCTACTATCCATAGTAGAATTAGATTGTCTCCACCAATTTGTGCCAGATGGGTTTATACTGACGTATAATAGAAAACAGGTGAGTGAGCAGGGTCTTCCTGCTTTGTTGCTCCTGTTTTGTTCTTTTGGGTTTTTCCCCTTCTATTTGCTGATTTTTAATTATTGGTATTATTAAGTAGTTGTACAAAGGGGTTACAATTCCATAAGTGAGTTACTCCTCTTTATGAAGTTTAGACCCAACTACTTTCTTGTGCTTGTTTTTGTTCTGCTCATAAAATGCTGTCTGTCATCTCCCTTTGAGCTTCACAGTGACTGTGTGGGTACATCAATAGCATTTTATTCACTTACTTACCCATTGGAATTGAATGAATGAATTGTGGTAAGTAGAGTAACATTTGACACTAGTTGAATATTTAATGGGACATTAGAATATTGAGATATTGGAAACAGGTATCAGATTTTTAATGGGTGTAAGAATTTGATTTCCTTCTGTGAACGAAGCTCATTTGTGCCACATGCCATGGTGGGCCAGTGCTATAAGAAGAAGCATTGTACACTTCTTTGATCTGAATTTCGCAGTGATGAGTTCATGTGCCTTCCACGCACCCTGTCTTTCCTCCACAGACACACTCTGAGGAGAGACCATTTCAGTGTGAGGAGTGCAAAGCTTTATTCCGGACCCCATTTTCCTTACAGAGACACCTGCTAATCCACAACAGTAAGTCCCCATTCAGTCAGTGGGGAGCAGGGAGAAATCACCTCACGTTTTATTCTTAGGACCTTTGAGAATGTAGGCAGCCTAGAAGTGCACCTAGATGTAAAGTGAGTAAGTAATCTGCTGCTAAATGTAAAATGAACTTATATTTCTCCCGTTCATCTTTCTTTCCTATACTGTTGTTTTATTTTTCCATAATGTAATTTACACTTTTTACAAGATACCTCATATCTTCTTAATTTTTACTTGTATATATATATATATATATATATATATATATACAGATACATATATATATATGTATGTATTAAAAAAAGAGACCTTAGATCCCATAAGGTATCTTTGTATGTGTGTGTGTGTGTGTGTGTGTGTGTGTGTGTGTGTGTGTGTGTGTGTGTGTGTGTGTATGTGTGTGCATGTGCACGGGCTGCTACGCAGACTTGAACTCAGGACCTTCCCGCTTACAGCTGGTGCTCTTCTACTTGAGCCAAGCCTCCAGTTCTTCAGTGAGGCATCTTTACACATTGTTTTGCCATAGACGTATTTGTTCTCTTTTAACTGTAATGATTAAGGATATATGTCTGCCTCTGTGAAAACATGAAACTATGTGCTGTACTTGCAAGCCGGAGAGAACTGGAGTATATCTAACTTAGCACTTCTTTTGGAGAGGGATTGAGACTCTGGGAAGCTCCTGAGATTCTGGGTATTGCCATCCGGGCTTCTAGTAGTTGGGTATCTCTCCTACTTCCTGTGCTGCCTGCAATTCCTTACTTACTGAGGTAGAAAATGAATTGTTAAGTTTTGGATTTAGTTCTAAACATACCATCAAAGTCTAAACAGTTGCATTAACACTATTTTTGGAATACTAAAAGTATATATTGATGGCCTCACTGAAGGACTTAAGTCTTGAGAAGAAGAATTTATAGCTAAACTAATGTACTGTTTATTTTTTATTTTATCTATTTATTTATTTTTGCTGACGTTAAGGTGACATGAATTCAGTCCTCATGTTCTTGCTTGGCATTTTTTTTTGCTCATAGCTGGTGCTCTAACACTTGAACAATGCCTTCAGTTCTGACTTTTTGCTCATTAACTGAAAAGTCTTGGATTTGTCTACCTGGGCTAGCTTCAGACATGTATCCTCAGACTTCAGTTTCCTCTGTAGCTGGGATTACAAGCATGAGCCATTTGCATCAGGCCTAAACTAATTTTTTGGGGGGTGCTGGTCCAGGAACTTGAACTCAGGGCCTAAGTGCTGTCCCTGAGCTTTTGTACTCAACGCTAGTGCTCTACCACTTGAACCATAGCTCTACTTCTGGCTTTTTGCTGGTTAATTGGAGATAAGAGTCTTGCTGGACTTTCCTGATCAGGCTGGCTTTGAACTGCATTCCTCACATCTCAGTTAGTATTACAAGTGTGAGCAACTGGTGTCCAGCTTCTAAACTGAATTTTTAATGTGATTCTTTGAAATAGATGGTACAGTTAGAGATTTCCTTTACTCCCTTATCAAAAATTAAAGAGAAATTACATACCAATGGCAATTATATTGCTTGTTCTTAACTTTGTTCTCTACACACATAAAGTTCCTATGGCAGTTTAAATATTAAATTTCAGAAGAAGACAGTACAAAATAATCAATCTTGCCAATTGGCTGTACCTAGAAGAAATTTCTCTGGCCAAGTTGAAATGTGTAGATGAAAAATAATAAAGACAGTGAGATTTGTGTACAAACTGAGTAGTAATAATTGTGATGAAATGCAGTCTGCTTCCTTGTGCTTTTAGGTCCTCTTGTGTGCAACTTGGAGCAATTTCCAGTTTGCCTATACAGAAAAGCAGTCTGTTTCAGAAATAAAATTTCTTGTGCCACAGCAGGATTGTCCATTCCATTTCACCCCCATTTCATTTAAGAAAGTGTTAGGAGATGGATGGATTTTAGCATAAGGATTTAGGCAAGTGAACCAGATTTTAGCATAAGGATTTAGGCAAGTGAACCTCCTTCATCCCTGTAATTTATATGGTTAACTTCAGCGTGGTGTTCAGGGGTTTTTGTTTTCCATGAATAAAATTAAATTTTGTGGACCAGCAAGAAATTTGTGACAGGAGGAAACTAATGCTTTTCATTTCAGCCTATTGGTTTTCCTCAGCCTGAGAAATAAGATTTTCAGTAACTGTGTTGTAGACCGTGGTGTGTGCTATATATCTAATGCACGTTTAGTGACAGGCTTTGTATGGTGAAATTTAGCCAGGAAAAAATCATCCTTGTTCATTAAATGAGCTTAGTGTAGACCTGTGTTAAAGTGATGGGAAAACCAGAAATGACTAAAGAAAAATAGAAATACTAGTCTTAGTCCTGAGTTTGAGCTCCAGTATCCTTCCTGGAAACAATAAATCAATTTAAAATACAAGTTTTTATGGTTATGAGAAATTGTTGGAAGTCAAAGGTGATTTGGGTGGGAGGGAGTGAATGAATAGGTCTCTCTTGTTCCATCCTGAGTTTCTCTTACTTAAGTTTTCATCTCAAAGGTGAAAGAACTTTCAAGTGCCACCACTGCGAAGCGACTTTTAAAAGGAAGGACACGTTGAATGTTCACGTCCAGGTAGTCCATGAGAGACACAAGAAGTACCGGTGCGAGCTCTGTAACAAGGCCTTTGTTACGCCTTCTGTGCTTAGAAGTCACAAGAAAGTAAGTAGAAACCTGTTGTGAGTTTGAATGACCCCAGGTTTGAGGTTCCCAATTTTAACCATTATTTGATGTCTTTACATACATGTGTCTACATAGTTACCCAAAAGGACAATGCCTTTGTGTCTACCAGCTATTCACAAAAGGCTTGTTTCTCCATTGTTCAGGCTATATATGATTTTTTTTTTGCCCCTGAAGCAGAAACACAAAGGTAGGTACAAATTTTTATATAACCTTTAGCTTCCCTGGTAGGTGGGTTATAGAGAATACTTAGCAACTACATCTTATCAGTTGTTATTCATTGTTGCACTAATATAGATTATGTAAAATGAATATAATGAGTAATAATAATTTTAGTTTTCATAGCTAATACAGATGTTTATATGCAAATAACTAGACTGGTTCCTTCCAGGACTGGATCCTTCTAGAACAGGATCATTCTAGGACTGCGTCCTTCTAATATTGGATCATTCTGGAACTAGGTTCTTCTATGACTGGATCCTTCTAATACTGGGTTCTTTTAGGACTGGGTCTTTCTTAGTGCCTTATATTTACATATCTGGGGCACAATAAAATTCCTAAAATGGAAGAGAAACAATAAATTTGCCGTACTTTTCGTTTTCTTTTCAAACATTCATCTGACATTAATTAGTGATCTGTTTTCATGCTTTCTTGTTCATAGTATAGTTTAGTAATTTACTTCTAATGAATTTTATTTTATTTTTTTATTTTTTATTTTTATTTTTGTCGTTAGTGGGTCTTGAACTCTGGGGCCTGGACGCTGTCCCTGAGCTCCTCAGCTCAAGGCTAGTGCTCTACTATTTGAGCCATAGCACCAGTTCCACTTTTTCTGCTTATGTGGTGCTGAGGAATTAAACCCCGGGCCTCATGCATGCAAGGCAAGCACTCTGCCACTGAGCCACCTTCCCAGCCCCTACTTTTGATGAATTTTAAAGTTAGCTATATTTTACTTATATAAACAAAACTGAGTATGTTTTCCTTCTTTTTATTAAGAGACTTAATGCCCTTTAGTCAAATTTCTAACATTGGTGTGACCTTGACTCATGTAAATAAACAATAGAATCTTATGATTATTTTAAACGGATTTCAGAGAAATTAGTGGTGACTTCTTTGGAATAATCCAGTGTTATAATAGTAGATATATATGTAATAAATTCTATGCCTCCATCAGAAAGAATGACATTGCCCCATTTGTTAAGCTATGGAAAGACTTAGAAAAAACTATATTAAGTGAAGTAAGCCAGGCCCAAAGAAACATAGGTCCCATGGTTTCCCTTATTTGTAGTAACTAGTATAGGTCGAGGACAAGCAGAAAAGTTCAAAAGCTATGTACATATGACCATATAAGTTGATGTTAAGTGAAATGAACACCAAGATAGGGACACAACTTGCTTTTTCTTTCTTGCTATTGTTTTTAAGTTATCTAAAATGTGCTATATGATTTGTTTGTTTCTTTTGTATGTTCTTCCTCCATGATATAACCCCTGTTTTCACTATATTTGAAGTTGGTGCCCTGCATCTTGTATATACATTTTTCTAATTTGGAGAGAGGAAGGGAAATAACAAAATGCTGAAGCAAGGATACAAGGTGACCCATTGTAACAATGAAATGTACAAGACATTATGTTGAAAATGAACTTTACAACTTGGGAGGGAGGGAGAGGGAAGGTATTGTAGGGGGAAAACCAAAGGAGGAGGTAACAATGCTCAATAGGAAATGTACTCTCATTACCTTACTCATGTAACTGTAACCCCTATGTACCCTATTTTTACAATAAAAAAACTAAAAAATAAATATAATACATGTGTAACTATATAAATAAATATATATAATTTCTCAACAACTGTATACTAATCAATAAAGATTGACCATGTTTTGCCCCTTCTGTAAAGAAATGCAAAGACAGGTCTGTTATGGTCAAAATTACACACACACACACACACACACACACACACACACACACACATTACTTTCAAGTGAACTGTAATGTGGACCTGAGAGTAATGGTTTATACTATACTGAGCTGGAAAGGGCATGGAATTGTCATGTAAAAGATATTGTAGTTCAAATGGAAAATGAAATGGTTGTCCAGAGCTGAGTCCAGAAGATGTGTACTCTAGACAGTGCCCTTGTTGGCTCACCATGGCAGTTGATTCGATTTTGTTGCTCTAATTTCAATATAGTATAAATTCTTTCAAGGAAAAATGGTTCTGAAGGACTAATTTACTGGGTGTTGTCTAAGGACTCACTTTATATGGCTCTTTTTTGAAATCACGAATAGGACTGTACACATTCAAATATAGATTATAATATAAATATTCCAAGTTTTAAGTTAAATATCCACAAGACTGTGCAAATAATTAATGTTAACTGTTGATTTACAATGCAAGAGGAGACTAAACTGTTATGTGAGTGTCCACCAGTTGGTGTAGAGGTCTGCCCCGTGTGTGTGTGTGTGTGTGTGTGTGTGTGTGCATGTGAGCGTGCGCATGCACGCGTGTCCCTGCATGTATGCATGCTCATATACATGCACATGCTAGTGCTGGGGCGTGAACTCAGGGCCTTATACTCACACTTGGCTTTTTTGCTTAAGTGGTGTTCTACTATTTGAGCTACACCTCCACTTCCACTTTCTGCTTTGCTGATTAATTGAAAATTAATACACTTTCTGGCCTGGGCTTCTTACTAACTGAGATCCTCATATCTCAGCCCCTGAGTAGCTAGAATTATAGGCAAGAGCCACTGAAGTCTGCCAGCTTTTTAAAAAAACCTTCTCTATTTTTTCTCATAGAGAACAATACTTGGGTATAATTTGAACAGATGCACAGATGTGGACACATCCCTGTGTGCTTTTTGTTACTGTGGAAACCAATATGATATATTATCTGCTTCTGTTTAATTTTCAGACTATATCTATTTTTTTGTCGGTGGTGGGGCTTAAACTCCGGGCATGGGTGTTGCCCCTGAGCTCTTCAGCTCAAGGTTAGCACTCTACCATTTGAGCTATAGTGCCACTTCCTTCAGACTATATCTTGCAAAAATAATAATAATAAATTTGCTGGGTGCTGGTGGCTCACACCTGTAAACTAGCTACTCAGGAGGCTGAGATCTGAGGATTGCAGTTCAAAGGCAGCCCTGGTAGGGAAGTCCATGAGACTATTATCTCCAATTAGCTCCAGAAAACTGGAAATGACACTGTGGTTCAAGTGGTACATACAGCACTATCCTTGAGCTGAAGAGCTCAGAGACAGCGTCCAGGCCTAGAGTTCAAGTGCCATGACTGCTGACACAAATAAATAAATAAATAAATAAGTTCCTCAAAACCGTATCATAGAGAATAGATAGATACTAGAAGGAAATGCCTCCCCTCTCCCTAAAGGTCCTTGCCCTTGGCCTGCATTTGAGGAACATTGGAGCTTGGCATGTAGTCCTGTTTAGAGATCTATTGTGATCTGAGTAGAAATCTGATGTCTTGATGAGACAGAGAGGCTGGTTTCAAACCCTGCACATGTCCCTTCTTTAAACTCTCTGACACTGAAATTCACCTTTTCTAGTAGGATCATGAATTCAAGATAATGTTGAGAGCAGAAATGTTCGTATTGACTGTTAATGTGTCCTGATTTTGAAAGGCAAGTTAGATTTATATTCCTTCCTGCTTTGTGGTAAAAAAAAAATCAGTTCAGACAAGTGGTACTTAAGTTACAAATGACTTTATTGAGATTAATTCTGTCCTCACAAAGAATGTGAGAAATGCTTCGAAAGAGGAGTTTCACGGTAGTACACGAAGCACAGCCGCAGCCCCCTTCCAACTGTGGGTTTTCCCTGTATGTGTTGGTTTTGAATAACTTAGGAACTCCATCAAAGCCTAAAAGGTAAACTCCTGAATTATTTTCAAATGAACACTGATACACGATCTGAAGGGTTTGTATTAACTCCTGGGAATACCCATGATAAATTGTTTAAATTATCACCGTCATATTAAATCATTTTAATGAAACATAATCCTGAAAAATAAGGAATTACTGTTGTCAGAGGCACTTAATCATCTTTGCTGAATTCTCCATTTTAACCCCTTCCTGTTCCTCTTCATTTAGACACATACTGGAGAAAAGGAGAAAGTTTGCCCATATTGTGGCCAGAAATTTGCCAGCAGTGGAACCCTGAGAGTTCACATCCGCAGCCACACAGGTGAGGCCGGTGGCCCAGGCACAAGCTACAGAGAGAAGCATTGTTGTAGGGCAGCACTCTCCAAATCCACAATGACACCCTGATGAAGAGCTAATCTCGCTAAGGAATTTTAAAACCCAAATCTTTACTCAAAAGAATTCTTCGTAACTACTTTTCAAAATTAAGTAAAATTCCTGAAGTAAAGACATTTTTATTTAATATTTTGTTTGTAACTTTAATGTTGCTTTCTATAGGATTCCAATGGATGGAATAACGCTTTCGCTTTTTATGAAAGTTGAAGGCCTTCTGTCTCTTCTGTAACTCAAACTGAAAGTGATTGTGTGTGTGTGTGTGTGTACACATGTACACACACACACTGGGGCTTGAACTCAGGGCCTCAAACTCTCGGGGCTTTTTACTCAAGAATTGGCACTCCACTATTTGAACCACAGCTCTAGTTCTGGCTTTTTGCTGGTTAATTGGAGATAAGAGCATCTCAAGTCTGTCTGCCTCCATGACTCTGAATCATGATCTTCAGATCTCAGCCTCCTGAATAATCAAGATTATAGATGAGAGCCACTCACAGACACCAAGCCAAAAGTGATTTTTTAAGATTGAGTGCCCTTTAATACTGCTATATCTGTGACATGCCTCGAAGATCTCTTTGTTCTGGGTTGTTTCCTAAAGGGTCCCTTCTTTTCCTATACAATTTTTCCAAACAAAGTGGTTATAGCTAGTGATGATTGATTGAATACTGATTATTTTTTTCTTCCTTCCCTCCCTCCCTCCTTTCCTTTGTTTCTTTTTTTTTTTTTTGTACTAGTCTTGGGGCTTGAACTCCACCTAGGTGATGTCCCTGAGCTTTTTTCCTCAAGGCTAGCACTTTAGCACTTGAGCCACAGCACCACTTCTGGCTTTTTGATGCTTAGTTGGAGATGAGTTTTATGAACTTTACTAATGTAGCTGGCTTTGAATTTAGATCCTCAGATTTTAGCCTCCTAAAGTCACTAGGATTATAAATGTGAGCCACTGGTAGCCAAAAATACTGACTATTCTTAAGAGATCATTGTGTAGATTTTATTTACCGTGTAGATAAATGCTTGAACTATGACTCTTATTTCTGTTCTGGAGATGACTTTACACTAGTCTGAAATTACTTTTCAGTAGCCAGGCTGTGTTTCTCTGGTAAACGGTAAGCTTGAAGCTTCCTACTCAAGAGATACACAGTCTGTGACTTTCTCTAACCATTGTATACCTATACACTAAGATCACTGCAACAGCTGTGCTGTGAATGTAGAAGTATTAGCTCAAGTCCTCCAACTTACCAACACTATTAGACATAGGCGAAGGAAGGGACAACAGTGGAGCTCATTTTTTTTTATTTTTGAAAATTTGTGGCTAAACTGAGAACATGTATGTTATCTTAGGCACTTAAATACAGTAGATCCTTAGTATTTACAGGTATATGCAGATACTGCTGTGAATGCTCAAGATAATGCTCAAGATAACTCTAAATTCACTCCAGTTTTCCTATACCATACCTAGAGTAGGTCTAAGCACCCGTTCCTGAAACCACATTGAGGTGGCTATGCTGGTATCACAAAATGGCTATTGTACACAGTAACACTACTCACCAACAATGACATTTTATTTGGCATTGGGCTCCTTATCACAACTATTTTGGATATTTGGTTCAACTTTCTGAGACAGGCTGCCTTTCAACAAATGTGAACCTTTTATCTTATGACAGAACTAAGCACATAGCCTTTTTCTTTTCTTTTTTTTTTTTTGTCCGTCGTGAACTCTGGGCTTGGGCGCTGTCCCTGTGCTCTTCAGCTCAAGGCAAGCACTCTACCGCTTGAGCCACAGTGCCACTTCTGGTTTTCAAGTGGTTTATTGGAGATAAGAGTCTCACAGACTTTCCTGCCTAGGCTGGCTTTGAACCGTGATCCTCAGATCTCAGCCTCCTGAGTAGCTAGGATTACAGGTGTGAGCCACCGGCGCCCGGCTGTCTTTTTTTTAAACATTGCTTTTTTGGATACCATTTGCTTTTTGGGAATACATATTTTCCCAAAATTCAGGGCAGGGAAATGCTCAGCAGATGACATAATTGAAACACAATGAGTGTAACAACAGGGGGATGACAGAGAGTTTCTTTCTATCTACTGAACCATGGGTTACCCGTTTGAGGATTTAAGATGTTTATTGATTGATTGACTTACTGTACTTGTAAGAAATCAGTGAGTAAAACATGCTTCCCATACTTGCAAATGATGCACTTAAACAAGAACTAATTATGGACCAAGAATTCATGGAATGACTGGATGACTAGGTACCCCACAGAAGGAAAGAAAGCTCTTTTCGCTTATAGCTTACTTAAAACAACAGGGTTGTTAGGACAGAGTGTTGCAGAAGCAGATAGCAACAAATGAAGAATAAGTGAAATTATGTATATTAAACCACAAAGTATTTAGTGTGGGCACATCATAGACCATTAGTTAATAGTTAAACCTAATCTCTAAAATCTGATTGGCATTTGTTAAGACTACAACTCCCAAGTTTTAAAATGCATTACAGTCATTAGTATTGGGTTGCAAGGGTTTATTAAATGATATGATTTCTGAGGTTGTATTTTATATTTCCTAGGTTTGTTTCTTATAGTAACACTGATAATTTTCTAACTCAGTATCTTTTTTTCTTCCAATTTTATCAAAATAAATGGTTAAACCTGTTGAAATTCTCATAATATAGTTTTATAAACATCCTATTTCTGGGCTCTTGATAGGGAATTTCATATCATGTTTAGAATAATTATAATTAATATATGAACTTTGGAGGAATACATTTAGGATGCCAATGTTCCTAAGTCTTTCTTTTAATAAATACCCAAAAGAAAGTTGGTTAAAAATTATTTTGGATTGTATTTTGAATCCTCAACTGTGTATGTTCTACAAACTTCTTTCTTGAAACTAAACCATAGTGACTTCCAAAATACCTTTCATAAATTCAGTTTTCCTTGTCTATCTAAAATTTGTTTTTGTCTTCCTTTGGGATTAGGTGTAAATCTACAGTTAGTCTTTATTTCTAAGTCCCAAAAGAGAGTATGAGCAATGAAAATTTATACACTTGCACACACACACACACACACACACACACATCCAATATCAATATTGACAGACTGGTTATATAAATTATAGTTGATCTATAAATTGGCCTATTGTGTAGATAATAAAAATATTACAAAATGCATTCATCAACATGAGAAGAAATGAAAAGATTAGCTATCACATGTAAGGCTTTTCATTGAAGGAATCAAATTTATTTTTCTTATAGTAATCAAACCATCCATTAATATTTGGGGAAGTACAGTTATCCTTTTTATAACATCAAATACCACTAAGCTTGCAGGAAAACTATGATAGTTTCTTCGTTACTCTTACACTAATTGGTAACTTGCAACAATGTTACTTTGTGCAGCATTAAAAGCAGTGTCCTCCACACTGATTTTCTTATTGGCTCCTGCTCATTCTACAAGAAAGTGATATTTAGCTACTGAATTATTACCTTTTAGTTCTGGGAAGAATCTTAGCATTTATGTCTCTGTTTCATATTTTGGTTAAGCATTTAACTTTTGTAAATTTCTAATGGCTTCATGTTGTAATTGATTTTACCTTTGCTATGTTAACCATGGACCCAGCTGTGCCCTCAAATTGCGTTCTTTCTAGAGCCTCTTCCTTCTTCTGCATTTCTATTCTCATCTCCCTTGCTGTAGGTGAAGTCTGAAAACTTTTTTCCTTCTAACAACCACTCTGTGTTTACAATGTAGTGATTCATGGCATGGCTAGTGTACCGAATGCATCTCTTTTTGTAGGCTTTAAAATACGTATTCCTGACTTGTAGAATAGCTCAGAAATCACCTGGTCCTCTCACTGGAAGTAATATCCAGCAAAACATGGTAATTATCTAAAGCCAAAAACTCCATGTGCTTCATATAGAAGTAAACCAAGATTTAAGCTTTCTTCCCCAACATGATGTTTCTGACTTCCTTCCTTCATTTCCTCCTCCTTCCCTCCCTCCCTTCCTTCTTCCCTCTCTTCCTTACTGCTTCCTTCTTTTCTTCCTTTCCTTCCTCTCTTTCTCTTCTTATACTATGGTTTGAATTCAGGACCTTCTACTTGAATGGCAGGCATTCTACTCCTGTACTGTACTACTCTACCAGTGCTCCTTCCTTTTTTTTCTTCATTTCCCCACATTTTTATTGACACATATTAATTGTACCATGTGGGGAATTCATTGTGATTTGTGATAGCTCCATGTATGCACATACTATTCATTGATTCTACTCATTCCTCTTAGATTTTCTTGTGCCTCTTTCCCTATCTTCCTTGTTTTATCTTTTACATATATATATATTTTTTATTTTTAAGTAGTTGTGCAAAAAAGTTACCATTCAACAGAGTAGTTCATGAATACAGTGCCTCTTGATCAATGTCACCCCTTTCAACATTCTCACCTATCCCTCCCACCCCAACTCTTCCCTCACTTTTCTTAATTTTTAGGTTTTGTATTGGATTTTGTGCCTTCTAACAAAGCAATGCATGTATACAATGCGTCTTGATCTGTGTCATCCCTTCAACATCTCACCCCACTTCCCACCCACTCTTCCCCTTATTTTTCTCAAGTTCTATGGTATATACAGTACATTCTACTGTATATTTCTATATACAGTACATTCTACTGTATACATCTACATTCTACTCCAGTTCATTTTTCTACCCCTCTTGATCTGCCTCTCTTGCAAGTATCCATTTCCTAGTACTCATTTTGTTAGGCTTTGACTTAGTTTTTCTAACAAGTTATACTATTGTGCTCAATTCTTGCCTTTAACATACCCCCTACTCTTTCTCCTATCCTGAAATTTACCTCAGAATTATAGACACAATGTTTAATGAAATCTTGACTTGGAAACTTGAGAGTGTGCTGTTTGTTACCTATGGCTTACGTACTCCAGATAGAGAGAAAGTTTCCCACCAGAAAAAAAATCCACTATTTATAGTAATCACTATTTATTATTTAATATCCACAGTATAGATTCTGGAGCCAGATTGGAGCCTTCACTCGTTTCATTTTCTCTCCTTCTGAACGTAGTGAATGGCATTACCTCTTTAAATTTTAGTGTTCTCAAATGAAAAAAAAATAGGAACAATGGTAGTTTGTACAGCACAGTGTGGTTCTGAGAAATAAATGCAGGTGCATTTGAAGCCCCAGTGCCCAGCTCAGTGTGAGTATGTGACAGACAAGCTGCCTATGTCTTTACACTTTGGCCTCTAACCCCAGGTGGCTTTCCGGTCAGTGTCATCTGGCCTATCTGTCCATACACTTTTACACCAGTTGTGGGTCATGTGATATAGATGACGGTTTGATTGAAGAGGGGAAGGTCTGAGGTGAGTGAAGGTCTGTTCATGTTGCTGCTGTCCTCCGTGAAGGCCAGCACTTAGCTCTGTTTCTGGTGGGCAGCTCTGCCATTTATCATGTCGGTTTCCTACATCAGAATGACAGAGATGGCACTGTGCGGGTCAGTGGAAGTGGGAGACCACATTCTCCTGTGGGCTTATAACTTCTTGGGGGTCACTGAGAATTGGGCTCATTCAGCTAGGGAATCTACAGACTGTGACATGAATTCCATCAGTTGTTCATAAATTATGAAAGAAATCTTAGGAACAGCTTCTGGGTTTTTAAAGCTTTGGGCCAAAAGGTTAATTACTTGCCTAGAGTTCCAACCAACTTTCCATGTCAATAGGTACCGGCTGTGTTGGATTTTCTGTTACAGGCGAGCTTACATGCTGCTATTTGAATGTAGTCATAAATCACTGTCTTTGTAGTATTTAATTGTTTTTTTTTTTTGGTAAATACCTGTGACTAGCTTAGAAATAAAGAACTGTGTATTATAATTGGATTATATTTTTAGTAAATGCACTGTTGTTCTTTCATAATATTTCTTTTAAACAAATAATTTACTCTTTTTACAAATGTTTTGAAACATTAGAAAGATAGTAGCTGTGAATAATTAGAAGTAATAGTGGGATGATGATGGCCTTAATAAGTTAAAAAACAAGTATGATTGTGTGAAAACACAAATGAAAATTTAAGTGTTTTTCCCCATTTTTAAAGAAATTAAATGATTGCCTTGTGTTGAGAGAGAATTTATTTTGCGGTATTGATTTTCTAAGTGCTTCATGAGTAACATGAACTACAGATAATCTTCAGAATTCATCGACTCATGGTCTGTACAATCTGCATAGAAATTAATGATTTCCTTCACATCACACTGCAAGAGCCTCAAGAACTATTGATTGGCATTTTGGTATTCATAGGTATTCATTTGGTATTCATAGGTAAAGTCTCCAGATCCATGCTTGCTTAGCATCTTAAGATAATGACTGAATACCACGCACAGGAGGGGAATGTACCATTTGTTTCTCTTTGTAAAAATTCTTTTATTGGTATTCAGTTTCTACCCAGTTGATTTTTGAGTTAATAAAAAGCAGAAACAACAATTCAGAAGAGATGCATTCATTTTCTTCTTTCAGGAGAAGTATCATCTCTAGTTTCCTTTAAAAAATTTCAAAGGTGCTATTTTCCTTTTGTGCAGTACTGGGGTTGGAGCTCAGGATTTCATGCTTCTTAGGCGTTTGGCTGCTTACGCCATGTCCCAGGCCAAAGACCCTATTGTTTTAGCCCATAAGCATAGTACATGTATCAAGGTTTGCCTGAATTTGGAATCATTCAGAGGAAAGAATGGAAAAGTGACATTTATCTTAGAATTTAGTGTTATGAATAATCAACTAGGGAATTAATAATACTGTCTCAGACTCAATTAGATGAAGTATCATTTGTAATATACCACTGTTAATGTAACTTACATCTTTCTTTTTTGATATTGGGGATTCTGAAAGATTGATTAGGCCACAGTTGCTGTTGTTTTGCCAGTTTTGAGGCTTAAATTCAGGGCCTGGGTGCTGTCTCTGAGCTTTTTTAGTTTAAGGCTGGCACTCTATCACTTGAACCACAGCTTCACTTTCTGTTTGTTTGTTTTTGGTAGTTAATTGGAGATAAGAGTCTCATGGACTTCCTTCTCAGGCTGGTTTCATGCTATGATCCTCAGATCTCAGCCTCCTGAGTAGCTAGGATTACAGGTGTGAGCCACTGTGCTGTGCTAACACAGTTTTAATCAATTCTTTTAACAAGCTTATTGATATGTAAGTCATTAGATAAAAGGGGGAAGAACAATGAAAGGTATGACGTTGATCAAGATTCATTGTACATGTAAACTGACATATTTAATTAAAACCCCTTTGAATAACTACTTAAGGGTAATAAAAATGATTAATAAAATGTAGTGCGTTTGCATATTAAAATCATCCTATCCATTGTCTACATTTTAGCCTGAGAAAAGCATGATAATTTCAGAAAGTGTTTATCAGTTGTTACATATTTTAAATGCTAATGGCTCTCTTTAACCTATACTAGTTTCACAAAATCATTTGGAAACTCCTACTTCTAACTAAAGTAGATTCATTTGTATGAAACTTTTTTAACCAAAATTATCAGTAGACTGGTTAATTATAAAGACAGCATGATGACAGAAGAAATAGATAACACAAAATATTTTTTAACTATCTTAAAATTGGGAGATTTTGGGGGAGTTGAGCTATTACAAGCAACGTATATCAAAGCTGTCATGTTTGTTGCTGTGTGTTGGGTGTTTTCTCTGCGGGGAAGAGAGACCACAGCAGGTGTTCTGGTGCCACCCAGGTTGGTGACTTCTGTCCTGTGCCTAGAGATCTCTGGAGAGCTGGGCATATGTGGGTGAGGATGGCTGGCACGGGGCCTTGTCGACTACTTGACATTTCTTCTGACTCAGGGACTCCGTTTCCTCATAGGTGAGCGTCCCTATCAATGTCCTTACTGTGAAAAAGGATTCAGTAAAAATGATGGATTGAAGATGCACATTCGAACTCATACCCGGGTAAGAATGCATGCTATCTCATGGCTCTTATATACCCAACTCACCCTGGGAATCTAGAAGATATGTGATGTACCAGGAGAACACTAAAGTGATTTGTCTTCGAACTTTACAACTTTGGGGGGGGGTGGAGGGAGGGGAGGATACAAAGGGATGGGAAGGGGAAACAAAGGAGGAAGCTACAATGCTTGATAAGAAATGCACTCATTATCTTACCCATGTAATTGTAACCCCTCTGTACAGTATTTTCACAATAAAAAAAACATACACAGGTTGAGATGAACTATGGATAATCAGGAAAAAAATAAGGTGATTTGTCTTCAATTCTATGGTTATATTTAGGATAGACATTTGAAGATAACTTTCTTGGCAGTACTAGGTAAAGTGGTTTGTTGTTGTTGTTGTTTGGGGATGGGGAAAGTTGGTGACAGTCCTGGAACTTGATCTCAGGGCCTGGGTACTGCCCCTAAGCTTTTCCGTGAACCCCACAGCTCCAGTTCTGGCTTTTTGAGTGATTAATTATAGATCAGAGTCTCACACTTTTCTGCCTGGGCAGGTTTCAAACAGTGATCCTCAAAGCTTCAGCCTACAGAGTAACTAGGATTACAGATGTGACTCACTGGTGCCCAGCAAGATTACTAAATAAGTGAATGAATAAATAAAGGCAAATCATCATCATCAACACCATATCCAAACCCCCAAAAGGTCCTGATCCTTGGAATTAGAAATCAGTGTTAAGAAGTTATAGATTACCAACTAACAGATACATAGATTTTAAATATTTTATGATTAGAGAACATGAATAGATGGTCTAGTAGACTGTACCAGTAATAGGAATATTGTTGGATGGAGGTAAGTTTGGGAGCATCTGATCACTACGTGTACTTATAAGCAAGTGTATTTGCAGGAAAAGTGTCACAAGTCATTGAAATTGTGTGCAGGGGATGGCAGGGACATGCCATCTGTACATGCATCACTGACCATTCTTAGGGTTCACGTGCTGTGTCTCACTGGTGTCTCACTCTGTCTGATGGGGCCTCTGTCCCTCTGCCCCTGCTCATGGACAGTTGCCTGTTGGTTACAGATGCCTTTACCAGAATGGAGCACCTGTCTCACATGCTTGAAAACAAGAATTCTGTGCAGTTTATCCCACGTCTGGGTGTGTTTTCTTAGCTCACTCATTTCCACATGTAACTGAATGTTACCTATTCTTGATTTTTCTCTGTGCATCTTTTCACTGCTGATGGTTCACACTGTTGTCCTAGCTACTCAGGAGGCTGAGATCTGAGGACTGTATTTCAAAGCCAACCCAGGCAGGTATGTTGGTGAGACTCTTACCCTTAATTAACCACCAAAAAGCCAGAAGTGGAGCTGTGGCTCAAGTAGTAAAGTGCTCACTTTGAGCAAAAAAATGCTCAAGGACAGTGTCCAGGCCCCACATTCAAGCCCCCTACTTTCTCCTTCCTCTTCCCCTGCCTAGAAAAATCTTTTCCATGTAGAAGAGAAGAAAAGAAGCTTTGCCACCCACCCATAGTGGGTTTCTTATTCTGTTCTATTAAAAGCAAAGTCATACTATGACTCTTAGAAACTAGAATACTTACTAATATAAAACTACTTTGTAAGCTTCAAAGGATTAAACAAATAGCACTGCTTATGATGATATGATTTAAATGTAAATAGTCAAAATGCTTATTTCAAAGTGAGCATCACAAAAAGAGTTTTAAGTTGTTTTAGAAATTATTTTGTATGTGTTACCACAGAAATGTCAATCATGTATTATTCGTTTAGAAGTTGCCAACATTTAGGTAAAAAGAATCCTTGTTCTTTGTAATGTGCCGACATTTTGTTGCCCTGATTACCTTAAGATAGACATGATTATACCATAGAAACTGCTACATAACTCCTTAATGGAAAAAAATACCTTTTACTCTGAGTGTCGGAGGCTTACACCTATAATCCTAGCTACCCAGGAGCCTGAGATCTGAGGATCATAGTGTGAAGCCAGCCTGTGCAGGAAAGTCTGCGATGCTATTACCTCTAATTAGCCATCTCAAAACCAGAAGTGGAGAGGCGGCTCAAATGCTAAAGCAACAGCCTACAGTGAAAAAGCCCCAGGACCAGCACAAAAAGAAGAAAGAAAAGTAAAAACAGAAAAGCACTACCAGGCATTTCTGCTTCTATATTCAGATGAAATTAGAAGATTTATGTTGGTTTTCAAAGTTTATGATGATTGGGGGGGGGCGAGTGTTTTAGAAGCAAGGAGATTAAATTTATTAACACTATTGAAGCTAACTTTTAATTTGCTTTTGGAATTAGTAACTGTTTTATTATTTCTAAGACCCACATATTTCATAGAGAATTTGATACACTTTGCTAGTGAATTATGTAAGGTAAATTTGGCTTTAACATACTACAGTATTTTATTTGGCTCAGACCCTGGCTATTCATGAAATCTAGCATTCTTAATTTGTCATGAAAAGCTGCTTTTTCTTCGTGAAAGAGGGAAAAATCAGACCATTTGAAAAATAACTTCCATTTTGGGTACTGACCGCTTTATTTGCCCCCCCATTTTTCCCTTTTGTGGAAGTTCTTTTTGATGGTCATGAACTAATTTGGTAGAGTCCCCTGGATTTTTATTTTCTGTTGATTTGGGGCTCATGAACTCATCAGTTCTCTTAAAAGTAGTAGCAGAAAACATGTTAAGTTCCCTAATTAGAAATATTTTTTCTTGGTAGGCACAATAAGGTTCCTAAAATAAGGACTCTTGCTGGAAAGCAAAGAAGGCTTCTTTGGATTTCTATAGGCTTGGAGAAGAAGTTAACATTTTAAAGAAAAAAATAGAATATGTTTTCTTTTAAATTCATTGGCAAAACTGACAACAGAAAGGTGGAATTAAAATTCTGTTTCACAATATTTAGCATTTCAAGAGTAGAGTCATATCTACATCAGGGTGTGAACAACCCCAAGAACTGAAGAGATTTCTGTTGTTGTTGTTTTGAATGACTTTATTTTTGTGTATATGGTTTTGACTTGTTTGTTTCTTTTGGTTTTTGTGGTTTTGGGTTCCGAACTCAGTGCTGCATATTTATAAGGCAAGCACTGAACTGCCTGCTTCACTCTACTGGCCTTGCTGCAGGTTGGTTAGTTCTGAGACAAGGTCTAGCTTTATGCTGGGCAGGCCTGAACTGCGATCTTTCTCTGGCTTACCCATGCAGCTGAGATAACTTGCTCTGGCCACCACACCTAGCCACTGTACTTTTCCTGCTTGTATCACTGTACTCAGCCATTGGTCAGGGTGAAGTCTTTTTTGCCTCAAACCATGATCCTCCAGTCTTTATCTCTTAAATAGATAGAAATATAAGCTACTGTCCTTAGCTTTTCTTTCAACTTTTTTGATGGTACTTACATTCTTACTCAGCAAGTCTATGATTTGTTTATTTTATCTGTCTTGGGGATTAAACTCAGGACTTAGGCACCGTACCTTAGCTTTTCCCCTAAAGGCTAGAACTCTAGCAGTCCACTTATGGAATTTTGGGGCAGTTAATTGGAGAGAAGAGTCTCATAGATTTTCCTTCTTGGGCTGGCTTTGAACTGCTATCCTCATATCTCAACCTCTTGAGTAGCTAAGATTACAGGTGTGAGCTACTAGTGCTCAGCTTGATTTTTTTTTAAAGGGCAATCAGATGTAGTCCTGTGCATCTAAACCACTAGAGGCAGTGATGGTGTGAAACAGTAGTTTCCAAGACTGCCACCTGTTCCTTCCTGTATGCACCTACTCCTGTCCTCAGCAGGAGAGGAATCTCTCATTCTTGAATCCAAGCTTGTCTCTCTAACTTGCTTAATCAATAGAATGTGGCAGGAGTGATTTTTTTTCTGGTAAGTCAGAAGCTAGGTCAGTAAGAAAAGAGACAGCTTCTGGACTATCCAATGTCCTGTTTCATCGCTCGCATATAGAGCTTGCTTGCTGATGGGTGTGGAGTTGGGCTGGCTAGTGCTTAGGTGGATATTGTAGTTCCTCCAGCTCCAGCCTTCATTACCCTGCTTAGTGCTCCCTTAAGAGAACAGATTAGAATGCAAGGAGATGGAAACGTGTCAGTGGGAGATAATATTAAAACCCATTTCCTTTGTTTAAAAACAAAACCAGAAGGGAATTAGGTTATTTTCAAGTTATACTCCTGTGTTATTCATGAAAATCCCATTACAACGAATTGCTGCCACTGCTTTGATCACTGTGCCAAGGCTTGCTGATCTGCCCTGTGTCATGGGTGCAAAATTCCTTTGTTCTGTAACTCTCCTAGATCCCAGGTACAGAATTTCTTTATTGTGTAAATGTTTACTAAGCCTGCTGTATGTTAGATTTGTGTTAGGTACTAGGAATGCATGGGAAAATGTATTATATGGAATGCTTTGAGGTTGCAGGTGATTTCATGTGAAGACATGCTGGAGTAAAGATTTAAGACACGTGTGTGTATGTGTGTGTGTGTGTGTGTGAGAGAGAGAGAGAGAGCATGCATGTGTGTGTGAGGAGGGAATAGAGGATAAATGGTATTTAAACACTGGAGGAAAGTGTTGAGCTGTGGAGAAAGCTTAGAAGGTTAGGTAGCCTCAGAATTGAGGCCTTTTTAGGTCTTCTAAGTACTTATTTATTTATTTATTTTTGGTCAGCCCTGGAGCTTGAACTCAGGGCCTGGGCACTGTCTCTGAGCTTTTCTGCTCAAGGCTAGTGCTCTACCACTTTGAGCCACAGCACCATTTCTGGTTTTCTGATGTTAATTGAACATAAGAGTCTCACAGACTTTCCTGCTCAGGCTGGCTTTGAATTGTGTTCCTCATATTTCAGTCTCCTGAATAGCTAGAATTACAGGCATGAGCCACCAGTGCCTCTAAGTACATTCTTTTTTCTTTTTGAGTATCATGTCTCTAGCATTTTAGTGGCCATTAGCCTCACCAGTCATCAACTAGTTCGACCTCAGAGTCACACAGATTTTTTTTATTCTCTGGTT